ATACACACACACACACATACTCACACGCACACACACTTACATTCCTACACATAAACATACATTGAATAGATGTAGGGAGGGAGGGTGGGTCGGGGGAGGGCAGGAAGGGAGAGAGGGACGGAGTGAGGTAGGGAAGGAGGCAGGGAGGGGGGATGGAGGGAGAGATCTCAAGGGGAGTAGGAGGGAGGGAAGGAACGAGAGATTGAGGAAGGAAGGAAGAGATAGAGAGAGAGAGAGAAAGAGAGAGAGAGAGAGAGAGAGAGAGAGGGGGGGGGAGAGGGAGAGAGAGTTAATAGAGAGCAAATTTCTTTTCCTCATGGACGAATAAAACTCTTCTCTTTGGTTAGCTTAAAATCATTTGGTTTCTCTTTCAAAATCCTTTTATACTTTTGTTGTACATGTATTTGTAAAAGATGGACAAATTTAGCACTTTTGTAATAAAAAGAAATGGATTAATGATTTTGATTGGACAGATTTAAGTCATAGACTATACCGATAAGGCCATACTTAAAATAATCCATACAATAGAATTAATAACGCTGTCCAAAACAGATAACCTGAGAAATCACTTTTCATGAATTAATTTTTGTCAAATATTGAGTATTGTCAAAGGCACAATATCTGTAGCCATGTTTTTCTTACTCTCGAAGTAATATCACATAGAGAGGTGATTGTTTTTTAAATTGCTGTTTATTCATTTTTAAACATTTGAATTAATGGGCCAATCATCAACCTCGGTCCGATTTATCAGTATTATGATGTAGCCAAGTGAAGGTTAGGACTGTCAACCTGGATATTTACAGAACTTACTGCTGGGGAACACATGCAATTCTTTTCTTTTTCAAACTATTTTGAAGAAGACAGAATTGCGATTAACAGGAGGGCACTTTTCCAACTTTTAGATCACATTGCCACACTTCTCGTGCACTCTATCCGAACGTTCCCAGAGTATATTTCTCAACATAACTGAGCCAAAGCTGTTCAAACATGCGACATTCCCTTTAAAGCTTAAAGAAAAATTCAACAACCACTGCCGTTTTTACACTGAGTGCACCTGCTGTGTATATTTAAACATTCATGGATGTTCCCGATATAGATAACATTGTCCCGCAGCGCATGTTCAGAATGATAAAAACATCGGGATAAAAATGGAAAATCATTTGTGTGGCAATGCGATAGAATCAGACGCTCGTCAATTTTCGGGAG